CAAATCGAGTTGAGGGACTTTACAACAAATCATCACAGTCAGTTCAAACTAAAAGTCCAATGTCCCCTCAGCGACAACAAACATGAAAGGGGTTTTGTAGAAATTCATCTCCAAGGAAATCCATTGTTGAGTGCTGGCTGAACTGCATCAATAATTCAGTTTGAGATATCTCACATTTGACCTCATACAAAAATTCATTCTCTGGCGTTGCACCAAGTTCATGAAAAAATGAGAGCCGATACTTGAAAGAAAGCAGAGGGGAGAAAAAAAGGAGAACACATCTGCATGTGAACCATGAACTCCCTCTGCTTTGTTGCATCCTTACTGCGCACTGTGATTGATGGAATCACGGGCAGCCTTAGATGTAAAAAAAGGAGAAATCAAATTCGAATAGGTAGAAACCTCCCATGGCGGTAAAGGCTTTTAGGGAGTATATCATGATGCTCAAAAATTCTATATCCATACACCTGCTCTTTAAGAAATGCATTCAAAGACTGATATGTTTAAGTTCAAGATTGTCTTTTTGCCATAAAAAAATGACAAATCCTCAATCTTATCAAAGACATTTAGTTTTCAAGAGCTTTACAATGTGCTTTCCGCAGTGCTAACACAAACTCTAAAGCCATTTGATGTCAGAAAAGATGAATTATGCACTTTGCTATTTAATCAAAATGCTTTTAGCATGTGATTTTTTTTTTTGGCATAACTTGTTGACATGGTGTAATTTTTGCATCATTTCCAGCCTGAGAAAACGCTGTATTGTACATTTTTGTATTTGGTTCTGTCTCTCTGTCCACCCACTCCGGGTCTAACAGAAAGAAATATCCAGTCTGTGACAGCAGGATTAGTCTGCTTGCTTACAAGTATTGAATTCATTGTGCCAATGACAACCATTGTAACCTGGACTTTGTTTGGACATGTAATAACACAAAATAAGAATTATATTATAGTCCACAAAAGAAATCCATATCCTCCATGACTGACATGAATAGAAGTATTCACCTCCATGTGCCGGAGACATGGATGCATGCAGCCGAGATAAAGACATGTTGTGATGGATGGTAAGATTGTCTTGTCTCTTTGGGTGGGGGTTTGTTTTCCTTTTTCTTTTTCCACATTTATTATGCTATGTTTGTATCTCATAAAAAATATATTTTTACATTAGATTACAGTGTTTCAGTGTATTTCATTGTATATATTTCTTATTTTTTGAAACATTACACTTTTGTCCTCTCCACAACAGCAACTTTCCTAGAGCACATTGTTCACTCGGCTAGTGAAATGAGTTGAGATACATTTTTATTTGCATCACAGTGGTGGAAATGGCTTTCATGAGCCAGCCAACACTGAAAGTCCCCTTTCTTAGTTCTTATATACGGAATGGATATTTGAAAAAGAATCACACTATTATTTTAAAAGAATCTATAATTAGAGCACAGCACTACGGTTTATTCATGGCACATATCGTATTCTTGTTGCTTATGTCTTTTTCTAACATGCCTCCAATAACAAAAGAATGTAGCGATTTTAAAAGTTTGAAGTATTGAATGCTGAAATAACCCTTTTATGTTTCTGGGAAGCTTAAAGAAAGGTACAGACTTTAACATTGGCAGTGATTAACGGAACAACAGACACTTTTTTCTTTCAGTACTAACAAATCATTCAAATGATTCATTTGCAGCAAACAAAATACTTAAAGATAAATTATTTAAAAGGCCTCTTGAAGCTTTTGAGTATTAATCCTTAGTTGTTATTACCACTTCTATTTGAATAAAGAACATGTGCTTGGTCAAAAATTTTCCATATTGTGACAAAGCTTCTCTACTATTAATCCTAATGTAGGTACAGTAACTACTTATGTCCCCTTACACGATGCAACATTTTTATGAATATATATTTTTCAGCTGACCAGAATTAGGTTTCTCGGTTGTATCTGCATAACTTTGAGTGAATCCAGAGGTATTCAGAGGTATTTGCTGATTAAAGATTAAAGAACATTTTGATTTGATTAAAGATTGATTAAATTGATTAAAGAATGGAATCCCATTCTACTTAAAATATGACCAAAACGGTAATACACACTGAAGGGAACTACCGAGTAGTTTTTTTTTAGTAATTATCTCCTACATAGTGCCGAGGCCACTGTTTTTCAATTGAGTAAATTAGGTCTGACATTAACAACAGGACCTTTTCTTCAAATGAAAAAAACCCAAAAGTTAGTTATCATCAAAAGATATTAGATTTGTTTTCTATGGGAGCAAACCACACCGCTGTTTTCCTTGCAAATGTTGCATTATTGAGAGAACCCTCCCTCCAAAAAAAAACAAAAAAGACACAAAAAACCCGGTCTTTTCTACAATATTAGACAAGCTGCCAAAAAGACATTGTTCCAAAACAAAAATGATTAGTAATATGCACATTTCCAAGCTTTTTCCCCCAGAGGTAAAGTCCAATGCAATGTGTATGAGGGCTCCTCAAAAGGATCAAATACTTGAAACTGTCTATCTCAGTAGCCTCTCTTTGCGTTGACAGTACTCCCTTGAGGAAAACAGTTCAGTTTCTAGCCTGTAACTATTTGTTTAGATCAATTCAACAAATCAATGGCTATGACACACGTAGCCGATTTTAATCAATGTGGCTTATAACCATCATTACATATGTGTCAGGGTTCGGTTGTGGTTAGAGGACCCAAATGCAGAGGCAGGGAGGCAGAGGTGAGTTTTTGTAGATTTAATGGAATGTTCACAAGCAACTGAGGCAGGAATCCAAAAATCCAACATGAAAAATGCAAAACAATCCAGAACCATGGAGACATCAAAGGAAAAGAGCACATGGAACCAGCACTGAGGGACTGCATAAGGAGAGTATTTAAGGGAGACTGAACAAAGAGAGGACTAACGAGCTGATCGGGAGCAGGTGTAACCAGAGGAGTCTAAAAAGGAGCTAGGAGAAAAGGAGACCAACACAAGAGGGCAACAAATAAAAACCTAAGAACTCAAATATATCCAGAAAACTCAACAAAATAGGAATAAAATCAATTAAATTAGAAAACATGGAGAAAAGTAAAACTGAATACTAAAAAGAAAACTTAACAGAACCAGGACCGTGACAATATGGTTAAAATATTGCATGTGTCAGCATATCCCATCATTTTTGGCAACTAACAGCTTTTAGGGTATAAATTACATAATAACCAAGATATATGAAAAGATTGGGACGCTCGACGTTTCAAATATATAAATTAAAATGGTAGCTACAGATGCAAATTTTTTATTTGCTAGATTCATGGATTGTTTCTTTTTAAGTTACAAATGCACATATAATTGCACAGCAACACATGAGCATGTTGCTGAAATGTTTGGATGATTTTAATGCAGAAATATACATTGTTATCAGCTTGTCTTACCCACTGATAGGACAATAGTGAAGACTTTTAATGTTTTTGTGAATTACACTTAGATAACAGGTTGTAGGTGATGTTATCAATAAAGCTGAGTTCCAACTTTGAAGTGAAACACACCTTGAAACAAATAGCTTTTCAAACCTCACTATGGATTGTGAGTAATTTCTCATGATAAGACAGTAAAATCAGGGACTGATCAGCATGTTGGTGCAAAAACTTTGTTGTTTATCTCTTAGTAGAGAAAATCTCTGACATTAGAGAGTATAAAACTGAGAAACTCCCTCCCAAAGTCTTTTTTTTTTATTGATTTCTTTTCTTTAAATGTTTGGATCAAATTGAAAAGTTTTTAGCTATAGTAACTTTCCCGGGAGACTATTGAACTGACAGACTGCACAAACAGATAACTGCAATATTCTGCTTCTCTATACATTACGCTGGTCTCCTGTAGTGTTTAATGGTATAATTCTGGAATAGCAGCCTTTTGGAAAAAGATATTGAACTGCATTTGACTCAAAATCAATACAACATTTGGTCTTTGTGTAAAGCAAAGGTTTTTTTTGCCTTTGCAAAACACATTTTCAATGGCAACAATCTATCTTGTTCTGCAAGTAGTTCTGAGAGTACTTTGCTGTAAAGGATGTCTATGAACTCCAGACCTCTTACGCCAAACACCACAATTACTGATGGCAAGAGTCTCTGTAAAAACATCTTTTTTAAAAGTATTTTGCCCATTGCTGCGTGTTATAAGTTAAGAAAAAACACATACATTTATCATGTCTGAAAGTTGTACTAAATATCCACAGTCACTGTGTTGAAATGATCTAAAAGGACAGAAATTCATTTTAAGACACTTTAATGTATTCAAACTGAAAATTTAATGTACATTATTCACATTCAACTAGTTGTTACAGTCTGGTGTTAGCAGAGTGAGTTTTGTTTGACAACACAATTTGACTCAAGTGGCCTTAATGCAGTGAAGACTTAAAAGCAAACCAAAAAAGCTAATACCAACATTTACCAAAAATATGATTTTTAAAACACAACAACAAAACAAAGAAAATGAAAACATGTTTTATTGTGTTTACTAAAAAGCTATCTTAGTGGTTAAGCTTGTATAAAAAACAATTCTGGCTACAGTGGGTTACAGTGCGTTATCCAAACATGATTTTTTTTCATATTTGGTCCTCTTTTTATTTGTATTGTTTGTGTAATATACTTTCGAGGCTTTTACCTCCATTTTCCTTTCAACAAGTCAATAGCAGCTACCACAGTTTGAACTAACTACCTAATTATCTTTTATGAGACTGATAGAAACACAGAGCTAGTGTCTGAAAGGTTCCCCTTTGCCCCAAAATGGATGCACAAATTGATGTATGGTACAGTACATACAATTTTTTTTAACCTATTTAATTACCTCCATATGAAACAATCAAAGCAATCACAATGTGAACCTGTGTAATGAAGTGACCAACATCCTGAAATCAGCTGCATTGTTGTTCTTATAAAATATTTTACTTGTTTATTTTTTGGGTTTTTGTTGTTATTTTATTTCATCCAAGCTGCTGTTTTTTGTTTGCACTTGTGGATCTCCTAAAAGGAAAACATAAGAAATAACTTCAAAAGATTCAGGAGTACAGAAAAATAATTGAAATTCAAAAAAGGTGGCTGATGTTCCAGCTTCCATTAGACATTTGATGTAGCTTTACTTTAAAATATTTTTTTAATAGGGTCCACTTAACAGCACCACCTCAAACAAAATTTGTTTATTTCTCTCAGAGACAAAATACACAAATAAGATATAAAGAAATACATTTATAGAAAGTATTACCAACCACTAACATTGTTACAACACCATACAGTTTGGACCTGTTTTGTTAGGATTTAGTTTAACTTTTATATAAATGTCTTCTGTTGTAGTTGGCCACTTGTATTTATTCTTAAAGGGTTTATTTTAAGGAGAAAAAATGGGCCAATTGTTATTGTCTCTGTAATTTTTCACTGTCCAGTCTTCTGACCCATCTTTTTATCATACAATCAATTAGAAGCTGATCTTTGGAGAACTGGAAGTAATCCAGTTTTCCCGCTGCAATCACCAGTGTCTCCTAATTAAAAGCCAGATAATATGAGGCTTTAAATTGTTGCAAGATGATTGTTGAAGTCTTTAAGTCCTTGAACATTAAGTTTCACCCATTAAAAACTCTTCAGCAGTGAATCTCATATGCCACTTGTGATCCAAACAGGAGGCTCTGGCTGAGAAGCAAATCTTCTGGATCTGTTGTTAGAGGGCCCTCTCCACCTTCTGCTGGGTTTCTGCAAAACCCAAGTCCCCCGGATCGTGTCAGTGTCTGGACCATTTCATGATCCAGAAGAGCTTCTTTCATTCCCTTTGGCTGGACAAAGCCACTCATCATTGGACACCTGGAAGTAGTAGAGCCCATGACAGGCTTGGTTCGGTTGAGTACATACATCTCATGGCCGTGGTCATCACGGTACTCCTCCAACTGTGCAAAGGTTGTTGGCCCATCAGAGTAGTCATTCACATACAGGATACTCTCCTCCTTGCTTGTACAGTAAGAGCCATTGTCTTCTTTTTGGTTCTGCTGATGCCGAGTGTAGATCATAATCAGCAGAAGAACAGCAGTGAGAGCCAGCAGGGAGATTCCAATAGCAATTGCAGTCTGTGTCGCTGGACCCAGTGCATTGAAGTCCATGCTGTCCTGCTCATATAGAGGCTCCTGGCTAACATCCAGAACTTCTGGCTGGTAGAAGGAGCTAGACGAGGATGAGACATACGAGTGTGTGTTCAAACGAGGCCAAAACTGGGATGAATAAGAAGAAGAAGAAGACATGTTGACAGCAAGGTGAAATGTAACCCTTGCCACACCACCTGGGTTCCAGGCTTCACATTCATAGCGCCCAGCATGTGCTACAGTTACATTACTGAGGAATAGCATGCCACTGCCCATGTCTGGATCAAAGCTGTCTCTTTCACCACCCTCCTCTGCCCCCCGCACAAGTCCCTGGATTCCCCCAACTCCTCCGACTTTGACCCCTCCACTGCTGGGTAGGGCTGTCACCACTCCCCCTGAACCTGACCGGAACAGTTCCCCATTGGGCCCAAGCTCTTGGAAAAGACCATGAGGAGTTAACTGGGTCTTGCCATGGGATGCCTTTTTCCATGTGACCTGAGGCTGAGGATATCCTGAAGCCTGGCAGGACACACGCAGGCTCTCGCCAAGTCGCACAGTCAGGTGGCTGGGCTCAAGCTGCACCACAGGAGGAATGCACACTAGACTGTTTGGTGCCACCTCTGCTAGACTGAGGTGGGACAGACGTGGGGGTTCTGAACACATCAGTCGACGCTGCTCTGCAGAACTCAGCAGACGCTGTCCATCTTCACTAATCCAAGTTCTTAGCCATCCAAGAGCACAATCACAGCGCCATGGGTTCTCTGAAAGAATGGGATAAGGGTAGAAAAGCATAAATTATGCCAGATGTAATCTATAGTAAAAAAAATTATAAATAAAGCATTACCTTAAATTAAATTCTTGGTTAAACAAGTAAAAACAGATTGAACTTAGATTAATCACAATATTACAAAAGAAAAACTGTGCTTTAGTCTGTTGGTTTGAGATGAGAGTAGAAGGAGGCTTGAGTAGACCTGATCAGGTGTAACTGGATCTCTTTCATATAAACAAATAAATGGTAGGATATTAAAATTGTGCGTAATGCAATAAACCTGCTTTAATAATGTTAATGTCAGTTGGTTTTGCTAATGACATAAACTGCCTTTTAATAACTATTTTGTCTACTTAAAGCTTAAGTGTGTAATTTTCAGCGACATCTAACGTCCAGACTGCAGACCGCAGCAACATGAACATCTCCCCCCCACCGCTTCTCCCCCCCAACAGTACGGCGAGCGTTACGGGACAAAATGTCTTCCACGACGTCCGCATCACCTACCTTCTCAAGTGATGAGGTTTGTTTACATAGATAATTTTACAGATAGTATTTCATTAGCCTGTGTAGGGTTTAGATTTCAGTTCATCTCTCTCAACTTGCCGTAGTTACTTTCGAGCGTAATGGGCGATCTCGCAATCGCTAATTTGTTGGCTCTGCGCTGCCGTAGCGCAAAGATGTCTGCCTCCATGGCTGCGAGACCCGCTCCTATGTAATTATAAATAGCGAATTCTAAGGCAACGCAAATATTAAGGTTAAGAGGCTGAGCTTGTAGATGATGATAAATAACATAGTTATGTATAATATATTACATTTCTGACTGTATATCCCTGTAATTATTACACACTGTGGCTTTAAGATAACATTATCATTTTACCTGCTAAGTAGCTGACCGAAGCTAACACTTGCTATGTTTTATCTTTGCACAGTGTTACAGTATATATTGAATAGATATTCTGATATTTATTTACTTTACATTTACATCCATATTGTCTCTTTCATATTAACAGGTTGATTTCTTATTTTTTACTTTAATCATATTTCATACAAAATAAAGTAAAAAATATATATATTTAAATTCAATTGAAAATAATATTTTTAAGTAACCCAGGGAATTACCCAGTCTTTTCAGTGACTACAATAGATTTGACTTACTTGTGATCTATTTTGAGAATTAGATCAGTCAATACTTGACCTGTCGGTTAGTAAAATAAACCCAATTGGTTTGTTTTGAATCCAGCCAAGTGTGTAATTTTTTTTTTTTTTTGTGATTTATTTAAGGGAGAATATTGAGGCACTTCACTCCCCTCTACTTCACTTCCCCTCTCCTCTATGAAATGCGTGGCTTGAAAAAAGCTTTATTCAAAAAGCTGTATAGCAAAAATACCATTTGTCTTATCATGAAAAAGAGACTCAAGTGTTTTGCCTGTAAGTTTTCAGGAGAGCAACCCAGTTACATGCTAGCACTTAGCAAAGGCAGGTACTCTCCTCCAATCTGAAGGGGAAAAGCCTTATTTTTCTGGTTGAGAACCATGGTCTCTGGAGTTAGAGGAGCTAATTCTCATCCCTGCTGCTTCACTCTTGGCTGTGAACTGCCCCAGTGCATGTTGTAGATCTTGGCAGGAGGGATAAAGGTTATGAACCAGACCGGTGACAGAGGGAAGCCCTTTCGGAACAGGTTCGACTCAAAACAGACCTGCTCCGTTTGACCAGAGACCCAGTGACAGGTCAGACAAAGAGAGGTTCAAACAGCTCCTGTGAAGTCAAAGAAATTGAGGTGCATGACCGGAACTAACACGACAAAGCTGGGACCCCAACCTGGCCTGGCCTGGGTTTGATGATGTATATAAAGGGATTGATTAGCGAAGATGCCAACTGCTTTCAAATGTTTTGTACCAAAAATTATTTATTTTGTACCAACTATGAGGACATTATTAGCTTGTTATGAAAAGAAATGATTCAAGGTGATTTAGTATACTCTATTTAGGGTAAATAAATGTGGTTTAATAAAAATATTTTGCTCATTGGTTATTGGTTTTGAAAAGGGTTAACATCCAATAAGATTTTATAAGAGTCTAGGGGCCAAAAGAAGATATGAGAAACAAAACAAATGAAAATAACACGAAAACAGCAAATTTTATACATCAGTCCTGAAAATTCTTGACACTTATGAAAGTGCAAGACTGGGTGTATTTTGGAGTGTGGGTTGCCAAATCTTGTTGGAAATGACAACTGTCAGTCTGCAAACCTCAACCCGAGACACATTAAAATCTCACCCGACACAGACTGAAAAACAAGATGTGTCGAGCTAAAAAAGGTAGAGTGGTTCAGTCCTATGCTCTTGTGTCACCCTTGCACATCTGACCAATTACTGCTAGAAGTATGAGTGAATGTCACACTAAGGGTTTGAGAAAGTGGCAGAAGTAGCCTTCCTTTAATAAAGGTGTGAGAATGAGAGCTTGAATATTCTGGCCTCCTAATAGGCCTCTTCACCAACTGCCTTTAATTGGGTATCTCATCATATGCACTCTGTAATAGTGTCTTGAAGTACCTTTTTAATGGCAAGTCTTTGGTTCGGTGAATTTCTTTAATATGTAAAAGATTTCAAGGCTTTAACATGAGTCAGTGCCTTATTTCTTTTATTTAAAAAAAAAAACAGAAGTTACTTACATTGCTTTTCTAAATGTGGCAACCCTTTTTAGAATTATGACATGGAAGATATTTTTAGCAATGCAGTGATATTAAGATTTTAGAAGATTCCATGGTACTATCATAGTATAAAATGTAATGTGATATAAAAATTCTTCCTACCTGTGATGCGGAGCACCTGCAGGCTGACAAGAGGTTTTAGGAAAGAGGCTCCCAAGGTGCTGAGGTGATTCCTGCTGAGGTCCAGCAGAGCCAGAGATGATAAGCCAGACAGAGCGTGCTCTGCCAGCAGCTCTATGCTGTTTTCCTGCAAGTGCAGTTCCTGCAGGCGCTGTATGTAGCAGAAAATCAAAAAATAGAAGAAAGGCATGAAAAGAGGCTGTGGAATGTAGAAAGGTTATAAAACCCTTAGCTGAGTCAGTTCTCGCTGCATTAAAAACAAGATATGAATTTGCAGGACAAGTCAAATTGGATTTTTAATAGATTTTTTTAGATGTCGTTATATATATATCATTGAAATGAATCCCAAGTGAAATTCTCCATTGTGAGATCCATAAAGTTTTATCTTATCTTAAGTTTATATTGCAGAAGTCTAAAACAAAAGTGTTCAACAAACATTTCTATTTTCCTCATAACATGACCGAACCTGCAGTCCCCTGAAAGTGTGGTCCTGGATGCGAGTAATCTGGTTGCCAGCAAGGTAGAGGATACGGAGGTGCTCCAGACCCCTAAAAATGTCAGGGGTGACCAGATGGATGAGGTTTCCATTGAGAGCCAACTCCAGCAGCTGTCCTTGGTTGAGAAAGGCCCCGGGCTCCAGGGCAGAGATACTGTTGTTCTGGAGGTACAGATAATGAAGGTTCCTCAAGTGATTCAGGTCCTGAAGTCTGATCTGTACAATGCCATTGTCCTGGAGGAAGATGGTCTTTGTAAAGCAAGAAAGGAGTAAAGAAAAAGTGTTATAAAAATCTCCAAAGGTTAAAGGAATTCAACTTTTCAAGGCACTTTAGTTTTCAGAGCTTTACATACATGCTAGTAAATATCAAAGAAGAACAGCTAGTCAAGGATCAAGACAATAAGCATTGTTGTGGCAATTCTCCAGGAATTGTTGTGTGTCTTGTCTAAGGTTACCAAAATCTGCAAAAAATAATTGATTGATTTGGGTTTCACGAGAAGTGCTTAGAAAGTTTCAAACCCAGTGGCGCCGCCTGATTGCTAATGCGGCTTCATCGTGCGTTGAGGTGAGCTATGATCGACGAGATAGACCTGCTGATATAGGTTAATGGAACAATTTATGCGAGACTTGCTTTTCATCAATATTCATGAGCTGCGGTAATGTTGGAGGGCCTGAACCCTGAAGGAAAAGACGGTGTAATGTTAAACATCTTCTTAACAGATGATCAGTGGATGTGCACGAGTCACTTTCTGAGGAAGGATGAATAATTGCGTAGACCACAGTGCAGTCCCTCCCTCAGGCTTACATCAAAGGGGGTCACAGTAAATTGATTAATCACAATCACTTCAGGGTAATAAGAAAGGATGCAGGGGGAAGTCAACAAAAAAGCACATCTATAAACGTAAGACAGCTAGACACTTTAAGTTTTTATCATTTGGCCGACTGACCTCTGTGATGGAGGGGGCACCTTGTGGGATTTCCTTGATCCCCAGTGATCCACACTCCACTGTGAGACTGTAGCAGCGACATCCATAGGGGCATCCCAGGGACCATTGAGGGGTGATGGTTAAGATAATCAGGGTGAGTCTGGTGAACCAAAAGAAGTCCATGGCAATTCCACAATGTGCCTTCAGGGACAAATCCTGAGTAGGGAAGACAAAAAGCAATGATCACAGCTCCACCTCAGCTAAACATGAAAAATCCTTTTGGTCCATTGCAGCGATATATTAGCATAACAGAAAATAACTAAGTATGCAGATGGATTGAAAAAGGAGATGATTGTCCAATGGCAGGGGAGGATTTGCAAAAAAATAAATAAATAAAGAGAAGTTAAGCATGTCTCTTCATCCCCTGGCTGATTACTATTCAGCTGTGGCTATTCAGTGGAATTGCAACAGCCTCTATTATAAGCTTCAATAAATTAAAGATGCAGTAAAAGATGTGCAGGTTGCCTCAAGGACCTCCCTCCGTTCTATTTAACTCATACATAAACCCAATCTTTTAGCAGCTCTTTCTCTGCCTTTGTCTTCCCAAAACACTCATACATATAGGTTGGAGTTGAGCTGTTTCATCTCAGAAAGCACCTTTACCTCCTCAAAGCACATTCCACAAGGTAAATATCTCTAATGATGTGATCATGACCATCAGGGTTAGCAGCGTGGTGCACCTCACGTCTATATATCCCATTGATATGCTCTCATCACCGAGCAACTCATCTGTGGACTACTTTCTTTTTTTATTTCTATACTGCCTTGAAGGGGTTTATTGTTCTGTCTGACTGCTCATATCATAACAGCCTCATACTCCCTGCCCAATAACATGCAGCCCGGCAGCATAGGCAATCGTTCCTGGGTTGCAGATTGCATAGAGGTACACCGCTGCTGGAGACATAATACAAGTTGAAAATGTCACACTGAGTCGCTGTTTCTGGCACACCGATGGAAGGTGGAAGAGGCTTTTTTGATGGAGGTGCAGATGTCTCCCTGCTCCGAATGTAACTCTCGCATTATTAGAAAAGATTTGTGTGAACCCAAGTGCTGCCTTCTAATTCAGTAGAGCTTGTTTCACATGTAGAACTTCCAGTTTGCTTAGGACAGCCAGCTCTGAATCACTTGATATTGTGGTTATTTAATTACAGGAAGACTCATAGATCTTGTTTAACTAGTGTGATAAAAGGCCTCGAACCTGCAATAAACAGCAAAGTATTAACATTTAGTGCCTTAACTAGAATGTTGGATTCCTATAGGCATAACACATTTGTAATGCTTTAATCCAGAACAGTAATTTAATGCCTAAGTGTAAAAGCCAGTCGGAAGTCTGTTTCAGTGACCGAGAAGTAATTCCCAGTGCAGCCGTATGGCATTATTGAGCCAATGAGCAATGAACTGGATTTTAATGTGGCACATTTGATTTGCAGTACATTTACGAGGATAGCCAGCCAGATTAATACAATGTGACCTACATAAGCTCTTCTGTCACTGTGTCTCACTTATTAACAAAAGTGTGCCATGCCTCCTCTTCAGCATGCAGAGAGAAATGATATGTTACATTGTTAGGGACAAGGGAGATGAAAACTGAACAGTGAATGAGGTACTTGTCTGCAATAGGGTTACTTCACAAAATGTGGCATTATCTCAATAGGTTTGATTTGAGTTTGATGGTAACAAGAGAGGAAAGCACTCATTAGCCCTCGGCTATAGTGCCTTGAAGATCCCACAAATCTCTGTGTAATTCGGATTTTATTGGATAAACCTCCACAAAATATGAACAAAAATATGATGACAAGTCAACTGTCCTGTAGAACTGGGATTGCCTACTAATGAATTAACTCAAACCTCCCATTAGGTTTGATCAAAATCCTCATCCCCCCTGAAGAACTCCCTCCACAATATAGGTAGGCCAAACTATTAGCAGAAAAATAATCATTAAAGATATCATAAAAGATGGTTATGGCACCATTATGTTTTTTCATCAATAAGGGAAGGAAAGCTAAATCCACATCAGCCCCAAAAAAAAAAAAATAACTTTGTTACAGGCTGTGTAATACTTGATATGCATCGTCCAGTTTTGACTTACAGTAGTGAACTAAAATACAAATGATTGCAACCCTTTCCACTAGAGGTCCTTAATGTGCGGGTTCTGAACCCAGTTTTAAAACCAGAGGAGATTGTTCATTTCAGGCAGTGGCTCCAAGGCTGTGGAATGCTTTGACTCCTTCTTTACGCTGTATGAATTCTGTTAATTCTTTTAAAAAGCAACTGAAGACACTGCTATTAAAGCAGACAAGTGGTTTTTATGGCTTTGTTTGTATGTTTCCATATGTTTTTAAAATGTTGATATACATTGTATTCTATATTGTTTTATTTTATTACATTTTTACTGTGAGGCACTTTGTGATTTTCATCTGTGAAAAGTGCTATACAAATACATTTTACTTACCTTCTTACATTATAGAGGAACTGCAAAGTGGTCACGAATTTCAAGTAGGCTATTTAACATCAGATTAGACAAATAACTCTATATATTATCTTTAAACATATACAAAAATTTGGAATTAGGCTTGATAACTGTGGAGTTCTTGATTTTCTTTTGTTGAAAATTGTCAGGAAGATATTAGTTCTAAAATTCTCCAGACATAATTGGTTAAATCTTCACTGTCAGCCCTTCAACCCCTGAATGAACCCCTGTATACATTTTTATATAAACAGTCCAATGACAGTCCATGCTCCCTTATTTCATCAAAACTTTAACTACCCCTGTTTAAACTATTTTATTATTAAAAACAAATGCCTGGTAACGTTTTGCTTCGAGCTCACATTTATTATGGGCTTAGTCTTAGTCTGGCACACAGACACAATGCAACAAAATGCATTTAATTGTTATGCAAAAAAGTTCAAGCAGCACTGCAAACCATCTCAAAAGGTTTACAAAAGAGAATGGACCACCGGCATAAAATGTAAATTAAAAGTAGCTATGAGGACGAAACAGCATCTCTCTTCTCCACTTTTTCATTAGAGGAAAAAGATAATCCCCCTGATTGAATGATATTGCCGATAAAGTGTGATGACAGCCTGATGGGATGCAAACAGAAGTGACAGCATGACCAGGAAGGTAAACAAAAACAGAGGATTTGTTTAAATAGCACTATTCAAAATTATTTTCCAGCCCACTAGGGGTCCAAATGTTTCAGATAAGGCTTAAAGTATCTGTTCTTGACCATGTGTTAGGTTTTTAGAATAGTCAATTTGTTCATAAGAGACTAGTATTCCTCTGTAGAACATACGGTAATCTGCACAATCAGATGCTTGTTAGTGAAGCTGCTCCAGGCACTGTCAGCAGCTTTATGGAAGGAAGTGTGTTGTTCAGTTTGAGAACAAACCAGGTCAGCATTAAATTAATGGTTACAGCAAGTTCAAAATGTGTAAATTGGATAATTAAAGCTTAATGTTATGTACACAGATCAGGCTGTCAAAAGAGAGCAGCTGTAAAGGTCTGCCATGCCAGATGTCATTCATAGGATGCCAAAAGGAAATCTAATCAGAGCGTACGTCACAGCAACCTCCAGCATCCTCACATGGTTCTGCAAACACTTCACTTCAGATTAGCTCAGGGATTGTTTAGCCAGGTGTTCCTGAAATTACATTTGCCACTTTTATTCTCACCTTGCCGCTTTATTTATACAATCCAAATAAACCCTCAGCAGTCTTTGCCTTGCTTATGCCAAACGCTCCCTGCAAAAAAATCTAAAACAATGGAGATGTGAATGTGCTACTCTATGGTAATTCTTATCCAGGCAAAAGTGGGTGTCAGTGTGTTGAAAACGATGCAGACAGCTGAAGAGCTGGAGGCAGAAACAAAGTTCACATCCCTTTGCTGCCACCCGTACAGGTCGACCTCATCTGTTGTTATGGTAACTCCTGTGATGAGAGAAGGTCTGCTCACAGGACCTGAAGGCCAGCCAGGGCTCCCGTGAGCCGCTGTTAGGCAAACAAGTCTGCAGAAATAGGAGCTGTCATTTCCCACAGAAAATTGCTTACAGGCACTTGAGCTATCTGATGACCCTGAGCTAAATTGCAAAATTCTTTTTCACTCGAACTTCTTTCCCTCTTTTCCCACATAAACTTTTAACTCCTGTTCCCTTTTTTCATGTTATTCCCCTCAACAGTTCCCTGAAAGTTTCAATCATTTTCTCCCTTCCTGAGTCTCTGACCTGTGCCTTTTCTCATCCCCTATCCTTCTTGTCTGACTGACAGGTGCTAGATCATTTGTCTTAGAGCATTCTTTTGTCCACAAATAGACCGAGGCCAACCCGCTAACCCGACTGTGTGGCAGTAACCCAAGAAAAACACACTGACTTTGAGAGATTGTCTCAGTGCACAGGACTGTGCACATCCTCATGCTTAAGCACGTGCGTGGCATGCTTACAAAGTGGCAGTTGTGCACAAACACTGACCACCATCAACTAAGGAAAACACACACACACCCACACAAGGATACACACTCCCAGTTCATGTCCACAACCAGCAGAAACATCATCATTCACCTACAAGTCAAACACAGGCGCCCACACAAATTTTTGTGTGAGTGGTAAAGGAAGCCCGGCTCAGTTAATAAGTCTGCATTGATTTCTTTATTTTTCCACAACTACCCTGTCCTACTCGGCTTCTGCAGCTATCGATTTCTAACATGAAAGAAGACGGGGAGGGGAGGTCGGTTGGCATTTGTTAATGTCTATGTTGAAGAGAAACAGAGTAAATGAGTGCATCTTTTTTTGTCCTATTGTGTGTGTAGATGTGTGGGTGTGTGCCTATGTGTGTCTGCAGCTCGCTTGTCAGACTGCCTCTAGCAGAATCACCGTCTGAGCAGTAGCAGCACCCCACCGCTGCTCCCACTGGAACATTTAGGCTAAAAACCCCCCATCCGTCTCCTCATGCTCTGAAAAACTTCATGAATGTTTGCTTTATAGAAGTTCTCATAATAAACAGCCCTGGAAAAATCCAGGTAGTTGCTGCTAGGGCCAACAAGCCAGTTGTAAAAAGGAAAACAAAACCTTATGCTTTAATATAAATGACAGGTAAAATAATTGACAGGCATTAAATTATATTGTTGTCAAAGTCATTTTCTTTTGAAATATAACTCATAT